AAGTGTGATAGAGTAGGTTGCGTAGCAATCCTACTCTTCTCCCGATTCCTAACGGAACGGGTGGATGTTTGTCTAGCTGGATTAGTGGTGGAGTACTCTCACGTGTTATAGAGCGATATCATCATCAACCTAGTATGACTAGCGCGGTCATTGAGAACCCTGTCTCAAATGACTATTCACGAGAGACTCAGTCATGAGTCGAACTCAAACCCTATCTAGGATCGAGTCGTGAATAAGGCTAAGAGCCGTGTATTGCAAAGTGGATCACGAAGAACCTGACGATGGCCAAGAGCCTGAACCGGCAAGACAGTTTGGTCATCTTTCTGAGGAGAGACTCCTAGCTGGTGACAACCGTGCCGAGTTTTGTATTGAACGTCTTGGTCACAAGTCATTCCACCTCTACATGTGGCATCTGGCTGACAAGCATGGTAACCTCAGTTGTGTTGTCACTCGATTGAATGATGAAATTGCAGGGAGTGGAGATCAAGTGTCCACCAATACCTCAGAGAAAAAGACTCGCAAGAACGGCAAGGAAGATCCAGAATTGAAGCAGCTTCGAAAGTCCCTTTGCAACTCGCAAAGAGAATTGTCTTATCAGGCTGTAATCGAGAACCTATCTACCGCCAACAGAGAGCTCACTCAATCGAAGATTGCCAAAGTTAAAGCAGACACCCAAGAAGAAAGGGACATCTGGCAGGAGAGCATCGAAGAACAAGAAAGCATTGTCAAGGGCCTCAAGCGTCGTAAGAAGTCCTACGAAGTGAAGAAAACAGCGAAGAAGAAAATGTCTAATAATGAAGCCAATACGTCTGCGTCCAATGAAGGCGATGACTAGGTACGTAAGAAGAAGTGCGACCATCTGCCAGCAACCAGTTCCACTAACACTTTATCTATTAATCCATCCTCGCCCATGCATCAGGCCTTGGTCGTTGAACACTCCACTCATCCACTATCTTGAGAATTTTCTCGCGTGGCATGATATCTACTTGGCTCCTGTATTCACGTTCTTCTTGTCGTCTGTAGTTTCTGTCGACATCATCAAAGTGTTCCCCTCCATGTAAAAGCTGCTCTGGAGAGCTATCATTCAACATCGTTGACTCTATGGGTATTCCACCTCGCGATTCTATCTCAAAGGTATCCTGCGCCAATGAATCCGGTACATCCTCTTCTCTTCCAAGCCTTCTGTTGATGCAATAGTTGTGGAGACGGCAGAGTGCAATGGTGAGTGCAGTTACTTTCTTCAGACCCATTGATGCTGACAATGGTCTCCTCAAGATACCCCATCGATTGACTAACATGCCGAAAGCACATTCTATCTTGATCCGAAGCTGTGAGTGGTAAAAGTTGTATGAGTCCTTGGGTCCTGCAGATCCTACGTTTCGATATGGGGTGGCCATGTACGGTGTATTGACATAAGCATTGTCCCCAAAGAAGCACAGGTTCTTGTGCAGTAGTCCATTCTCCAGCTGGTGATGGAAAGTACTTGTGGAAAATGACAGATAGTCTGACGTTGCCACTGGATGGTCAATTGCCACAGAAGTGAATCGCCCAAAATGCACTACGCTAAAAGCTAGTGTAAAGATCTTTCGAGTGTTTTGAGTTTGAGAGAATGAAAGTTATGAGAGGAATTAGAAGCTATGAAAACTAATCAACGAGAGAGATCACAATCAAAAGGATCGTATGATCTGAACTCCCGCAGGGAGGATCCTGTAGGTGTGATAGAGAGGTTGCGGTAGCAATCCCACTCACTCCACGATCCAAAAAGGAACGTCGTGAAGATTCGTCTAGCAGTTTATCTAAGTAGCGTGGAAGTACTCCACGCTGGCTAAATATATAGAGCGATGTATTCATCAAACCCTAGTGATGACTAGAGCTGGTCATTAGAACCCTGTCCCAATGACTATTCGCGAAGACTACGTCAGTAGTCGAACTGCAAACCCTATCTAGGATCGAGTCGCAATAAGGCTAAGGGCCGTGTATTGCATTCGCCCAATGACAAGGGTCACGAAGGCACGACACAATCGTCGGACCAAGGACAATGAAGTTAAAGTGCGGGGAAATCTACCGGAGATTGGATGTAGACGATGTGCGTGGTCGCGGACGGATGGAATCCTTCGAGGGAGGATTCAGCCCGGTTGTGATGGGCTTGTAAATATCCTTATGTTTCCAAGTCTGTGTAGACTGGTCGCTGCTGCATTGTGGTGTAGTCAGCTGGAGCGCGTACAGTGCCATTGTTATTGACGTCGGTCGGTGGTAAGGACCTTGGTGCTGTGGCTGACCGTACTAAACGTTATCTGATACTGAGTATCATCTCAGTATCAGTTGCATTTTGGTGTTGATGATGGACTACGTGTTGTGTTCTCTTTATCGGTGTTTTTCTGGATATAGTCAGTTGGGACATTCCTTAGATGTTTTCCGGTTATTTTTGAAACGATGTGTGATCTTGTCACGATTGACGCGCGTGAACTTGCAACGAAGTCCATGTTCATGCCGGAGAGTCTTCTCGACCTCTAAGCGGGATTCACGTTCTCTGTCCATGTCAACCGGTCATGGGTACTGGGTAACGCACGTCCTGGTTCAGAGGCGATGGTTACTTCGTCTGCTGTCTTGTATCAGCCCTTGTTAGTTCATTGTTCCAATGACTCTACGAAGTTCCTTACTATTGGTAGGAAGAAGCGATAGCTTGTTCGCATCTATTATCTTTTAGTTAAG